AACAGGGTCAATAAGTTAGCATGCTTCTAAACATAGATTTTTAGGCTAGTTTGATCCTTGATCAGCTAAATTCTGTATGGCCACAGACCCAAATCCATTGACAAATACCTTTGAATACTTCTTCTGTCACATGCCATGCCACTTTCAGTGCGCAGCTCCAATGCCAGACACAGCTGAGTGCACACGCTCTGGCAGTCATCGCTCAGCGCCTCCACTTCCTAGGTACACATACCAAGCCACCCTTGAGCACAGCTGGATCCGAACCAAAATGCAATGCACGCACCTCATCAAAGTGAAAATATACCGAACATGTTTATCCATCACATTCCACTGCATGAGTGGGAACCAAAATACACAATGTATGTTGACATATGTGGCTTAATCAATACAAAAAGTTCAAGGTTTCTGTTTGCCTCATCTGTCCTCATCAGGAGCTCATTGTGCGCTTATCCGGTGTGTCACATCCCTGCCCCAAGCTACTGACCCCCCCCCCCCCCCCCAACCCACTTGGCTATTTTTGGTCTCAGGCTTCCTTCGAATCGCCAGGGGAGCTCTGAAAATTCTGCGTGAAAGGCATGTCTGTCTGATGATCGTTAAATGACGCCACATGTTGAGTTTCACACGCAAAACCTGACAGGCAACAATTGGTATTTCATGTTCCAAAATCCCAATGACGCAACCTTTGGCTTGCTTCATTGGAATATGATGAGCATGATTACCAAAAATAATTTAGAGGTAAAATATTACACTCAATGTATCATCAAGTGACTTTACTGCCTAAACATTGTAAAGAGGTGTGTCGAAGGACCACACAGTCCATTCTGGGTTGCTTGGTTGACCTCCAGTTTCTTCAGATATAGAATCTATTTTACCAACAGAGCATCATAGAAACAGAGTGAATCTGTTCCAGGGTCAAGCTGTGACCACCATAAAACCTTTTTATATGAAAATGCAATATTCTAATCTTCTAATAAGTGGAATAGGACATAAACCACACCACAATAATCTAAAATTTAAAAAAACAAACACTTTTTACCCATTGATGAGGGAAGAGGATTACCCAAGGCCAGCCAACTTCCAACTGTTTAATGTTCCCTAGTGTCATACAATTGTAAAAACAACTCACAGCTAAACAGTACCAGTCAAACAACACCCATTTCAGCATGTATACTATCAGAAAGTGCAACCAAAATTTTGAGTGGAAATGTATAGTACAACTTAATACCCACACAATAACGATGCATGCAAAACAAAGCTAGAGTGGTGAATGTGCAAAAGAAGATTCTTGTATTGCTTGCACTTACAGGAACAGAAGGTTGTCTAACCCTCGCGTAAGTGTGTGTGTGTGTGTGTGTGTGTGTGTG